AATAACAATGCGACAGTTTGCTTCTACATATTTTATGTATATATATAGCTGAATACAGGTATACAAGCATAATAGATAACAATACTAGCTAAAACCATTTCTCTACCCTAGCCAGCCTCGCGGCTGTCTAGTAACTCAGATGTAAGCTCTCTGGAACCTAATAGAAGCCTGGCGAATTCTCACCAGTATCCTAATTTTGTATCTACTGGTTTTGGACATCCAATTATCCAATTGGTCAAATATGATGTAAATAATTATAGAGATTGGTTAATTGAGCCCAATGACGTTGACAACCCACCCTTATATGGTGGAATGGAATTTTACTGAAGAATATTCTCGTGAGATATCTGTTAACATGTTGTTGACATAGAACCAGTTATGTTATGGCCCTACAAGTGTTTTTATATCACAATATGTCATTCAAACCCTAAGTTGATTTAAATATTTTAAGTACATATCACATATTATGCGAATATGTTATTTCTCGAGCAAAAATTCTACTAAAAGTATTACAGTGGATCCAAAAGAGGAACAGGAGTACCACTCTAGTGAAAACCTTTAGGTATATGGTAGAGAAATGTATAATTTTTGGAGGCGGTTAGATTTAGAGCAATACTTGACACTTGACAGCCATGGCTAAATGAAATGAAATGAAATGGAGTTTAACGTCCTACTGTTCTGCTCCTAACCTGGGCTAATGAAGACGGGCATACGCCATACAGTGTGCTATGAGGGAAATTTTGCCCTGACAGCGGCACTACGGCCTACTCTTATATCGAATTTCAACTGCCAAGGGATCTTTTACGTGCACGCCAATGTGTACACGGGACCTCGGTTTTTCGTCCCATCCGAACGACTAGACAGCTTTCCTTGTCAGCCCCTCCGTCCTGCATCACTGACAAGGGAGAACCACGCCGGAAAATCTGGATGAACTTTCTCGGCCAATGCAGGGATCGAACACCCGACCTCCAGGCTAGCGAGCTAGCGTCTTACCCACTTAGCCACGTGATCCCCCAGCCATGGCTAAAGGGCAAATTGTATATACCTACATAGATGTTAAGAGGGGCTAATCTTCTTTAGATTTGGCCAAAATAAAATATTGAATTTGATTCACCTGATGTGTTATTAATGATTGGTAATCTTTACACAATTCAATTTATGTTTCTAAAGATTGAATCTTAGTTTACTATGTGGACAAAAACACAACACTGGCTTAAGCTTTTTATACATCCAATAAAATAAATCAGTACATACAACCACGTGACATGTTTGTCATAAATAAAAGAGGATATTTTTCAGTTTATTTTGAGCAACAATCCAACATAATAAGGCCAAATAATACAACACGTGGATGAGGGTTACGCTCAGTGCAAACGCTCTATTAAACAAGCTAAACTGAAAGAACAAGGAAGAAATTTCAAAACAGGTCAGGAATGCAGTAAATATATACCTTTTAAAAATATACTTACATTTTTGTCCCGTGATTATCAATATAGGGTACTATTTCAGAGGAAGAAAATAGGATGCAATTTTTTCTATAAAATTCCCAAAAAAACCCTTACACGCGATAAATTATAGAAAATCCTTGAATACTTAAAATCTGTAAACAAATCGCTATGAATTTATACAATGGAATAGAAGCTTTGTCTTAAATTTTACATACGGCCGAACTCGAACATCTCCGATGCAACTGTATTTTCTAATTAGGTCAAATGGAAATTTATAACAAGATAGTTAGTCATTATGGTGTTAATAGAACATGTATTGGGGACTGCCCAGAAAACTCGACGTTTCTAGGTAAATAGTTGACACCTAGAAAACTATACTTGTGATTTTTCCCAAATGGCACCCGGTGGAATATATACTCCAAGAAGCGATATCAAACGCTTGAAACCCGGTTGACAACTATTCTAGACCGCCCCTAATTAGATAGGAAATACTAACGGGCACTGTAATATATCTAATCATAATATAGGAATACTACTTACAGCAGCCACTATAATTATACAGGAAAGAATTATAAAGATCTACTATCCAACGTTGAATATTCTTGCTGTATAAGTATAATGACGGGAAACACCGCGCGGTTTAATATTTATATATCTATTGTATGAAAATGTAGGAACAAATTATAAAGATTGGCAACAAGATGTTATTTGTATAGGTAATATTGTAACATCTACAAAGATATCTGGAATTAATAATTTCAGTATGTTAAAGTACAATAGTATGATTATAATGTAGGAAAAGACCGCAGGGGTCCACAGCTGTTATTGTTAAATATATTCTTGGTAACTTCGATATATCAGGCATCTCGATGGTAAGGGAAGCAACTTTTGTCTCTTGCCATTGTATAACGTCCGCTCCTCCTGGCGATGTTCCTAAACTGACTTCATAATACAGGTTCTTCCATGGGGACGTAAATAAATCTCTCCATGACATTTCCATAGATTTACCATCAAATGATCGGGCAATTAATAATTTTGAACCCGCTGAAATATATAGAATAGTAATAATAGTAACTTTATTCATTCAGAATATACCATTCAATATAAACCAGTAGTCACACTGCACGGTTCATTCAAATAATATTACGAAAATGAGCATATTTCTAAAAACAGGGCCAAAACATCCGGTTAAACGCGCTATCGTTGCAAATTTACAGCTGAATAGTTGAACTAAAATTTTTTCGAACTCCACTTCATAAACGAAATTAAAGATGATCAAATGAAATTTAATTTCTGACATAATCCAATAAAAAAGTAAAGACTTTTTGTAACCCGTGGATAATTTTACACATCATAGATCAAATTTGAAATTTTTCTATTGGCAGAATGACTTATACAAACCTTGTAAAATTGGAGGTTGTGCTACAGATGATATTACTGTTGATATAGAATTGTCTTGTCTTCCTAATACATTAATAGTAGAAACACTAACATTATAGTTAGAGTTAGGTTGTAGTGATAAACTTCTTAATTTAGCCTGGTTATAACCGATCTCTGAAACTCGAACTTCCTTATCTAAATTATAACCTGGACCATACACCGATACCTGGTAATAAAAGAACATAAATCTAATACTTGTAACGACCAATGTAAATCGTGTAAAGAAGACAATCTGTTTCACAGAGGATTACGAAATTTTTCCAATAACTCTGTAAATGATGACTGCTTTCAACACCTGACGTCACATCACACGGCGTCAATCATTGGCTCAATGGTGCGTGCATTGTTTACATAAGACATTTACACTAAATAGGACATATTTTTCAAAACCTTTATTTATTTTTCTAAACCTTAAAACAGATGTTCAACAATTTCATTTGCAGAACAAAAAAGTTAATCTGTGGGGCCCATTAAGCAGCATCGATGTAGCAGCCTGGCTAATATCTACGGCTGATCAGTTTTTCAGTCAGGGTGCTTATTCTAAACCGAAACACTAACTCGTTTTATTATGAAAAAAGACACTGCTAATTCTTGGCGTTCAAATGTGCACAGATAAGATTAAAAGTCCATCTGTCTGGAATTTCTCATTTTCTTAAAAATTGAATACCTGTATAGACTTGGTACCAATTCTGGTATTTTCTAAATCCCATTTTAATCGTAAACTATTAGTCAATGGATAACAATCATCCTTCACCGGATATGCAGATACTCCATCTTGATGAATAGCGATTTGCCCCTCTGCTATGGCAGCCATTTTGTTTATAACCAGAAGAACGCCATCAGTAGTAGCTGTAGTTGGTAACCCAGCTTTATTATAACATCTTACAGTAGAATAAACTTGTTTAGAGTTCTGTATTTGATCAACGGGGAGTTCTACTTGAGCAAATGATTGTTTATCTGGTACAGGAGTAAATGGCTGTATATCAACACCGCCATGCGTTGAACCTAGTATGTAAAACAAATGAATAAACGTGTCAATAATTAAATAACCCCCCGCCCCTGCTCAGCTACATAAATTTTTTGTAAATCAACACTTTTATGAGAAAAGTTTCTCAGCCGTGTGCTTTGTCCTTTATCGTCAGATGTGGGACAGGATGGGCACTTAAAGCACGAGATAATGATATAAACATTATGTGATATCACAATTAATGCTTTGCACCCATGAGATTGAATCACAATGTCATTGTATTAATTCATAATAAAAATTGACGTCAAACGAGGTGTTGAATTTCTCTGTTTAAAAAGCTTAATGTGTATGTATATACGCCCAAATGACGATAGAGACCATGAGGTGGGGGGGGGGGATACATTGTCTCAGGAACCTGGCAAACCCCCTGCTGCAAAAATTCCTGGATCCGCCCCTGCCTACATGTTCTCTTGTTGATACAAATAGTAGATTGTATGTTGTAGAAATTAACAATAATTACAGCCAACCGTCGACTTAGGTTACATACATAGAGATACGGTATTTGTTATATGTTGTAATGCAAAATGAAATTGGATTTAACGTCCTACTGTTCTACATTTGGTGGGCTAATAAAGACGGGCATTCGCCATACAGTGGGCCACGAGGGGAATCTTGTCTATAACCGATTAACAAATTACGTTATTCCAACGTTGAAAATAGTGAAGTATTACCTATAGCCCATTGACAATATTCTACTCCTGATTCTAGATCTCCTACTTTCCAGTTAACTGATATGAGTTTGGTTAGCTGGAAATTTACATCATCCTCTAAAATGATCAAAACATATTTAAATCAACAAAAGAGAAAGACAGACAAGAAACACTCGAGTTGATGCGAATTCGTCCTTCAGAGTTCTGATGACAAAGGTTACGTGGTTTTGATCAAATATTAACTGTGACTGGCTTAGTAAACAGTAAAAAAAACTGTCATGTAATAAGCAAGTTTTAACCCTGAACTTGGTGTGGATAACCATTCTGATAATAACATAGGCTTCTGTCAATTTTATTTAAATAGCTGATTTTTCATTGTGGTGGTCAGTAATATTTTCCATTAAAGTACCCCACAATCAACAATTAATTTCTTACCTATACCATCGTTCATCTCTGATATTATTGGCGGAGTCATATCGGCAACAATACTCTCTGATTGGCTGACAGTTGTTAGTCCGGCGCCATTGGTTGACATCACCGTCAAGTAAAGTAATGTATTATGGGCTAAATTTAGACCAGATGCTGTAGCGTGCTGATTTCTGCCAACACTTGTGAACGACTGAATCTGGGTTCCACCTTTCACAGTTCCTGAAATTAAAATGATTGTTTTGATTGAAAACCGTTGTCAAAACGATTTAGAAAATAAGAATGCTCCCTGGGTAATTTTACAATGTAATCAGTAAATATATTTGATACCAAAATCAACTGGATTGCTAAATAAAATCTACAAAAACAGGAAATGTATTGCTATAACTAAATACCTACATGATTTAAACACTATTGTATTACTTATAGTCACTGATATATTTACATACAGTAGTACATGTATTCAAGCTAAAATTACCTAGTGCCCATTGATAATCTGTAATAGGACTTTGATCATCTTTAAAATGCCAGGTAAGATGAAGAGATGACCAATAAGGTCTAAACACTGTATGATGTATTAAATGATTAGAATCACTGGTTATATCTATATAATTAACTTGTTGTACATATACATCATCTACAGCTAATATCATATGTAATTTACTTGTACCAATTCTTATCACTTCGCTTGCTTCTCTTGGATAGAATACATAAGTAAATTTGTTCCATAATATTAATGGCTGTTGGTTGATGTCACATATCCCCCGACATCGTTCTGGGTCAAGGCTGAAAGTGTGAGTTTCTTGTCCGAATTGCACGAAACCTTCCACGTTGTGATGCTGAATGCTAACATCATGTGGATATCCGACATGTACTATAACATGATAAGCACTGTGGGTGTTTAAATCAAAAACTGTTTGTTGAATATGACCTTTCACTTTAATATAGGTTCCACCCTCTTTTGAAACGGAAGGTTGTGATTGGATGATTTTAATACACGAGGTGGAGTCAATATACCAAGGAGCTGGTGGTTGGTCATCACATTCCTTATTTGATTCTGTCACGCCTTCTTCAAATGATGGGTTGGCGATGAGATTTTCTCCAATATAATCTATATCAACCGGTACTGGGGGCGTGATATCAATTGTAATACCACCAGACACTGCTACATCAGATTTCAACCCACTTCCATCTACAGCATACACTTTATTATAAATTTTCATACCTATAACAATAAAATACAGTAATGGTATTTGTTACGGTGGCACTAATACTTTGATAATAATATATCACATTTGAAAACAAAACACTCAGAAATTCATTGTTTGGAAACAGATGGCTTGAGCCGTTATGGGATGGTCTGGAGGTATATTATATTTGAGGGGACTCTTTCCAAAGGCATTTGAAGAGATAAAAAAAACTGTTTTCATTATCTTGCCCACTATACTACAGCAAGGGACCAGTATCACACGTGTCGGGGCAAGACAAAAATATGACGAGTGATATATCCCTACTGTAGTATAGATAATGTCACGATAATGACATGATTTTTATTTAATAGTCAACTCTTCATCTAATCGAAATTGAGATTCGATTTTATTCAATTAATATGGAAAGTTTAGAATGCCTACCATGATTTAAAGGTGAGGTTAGGTTTACAGACACTCTAGTATTTAATCCTACATTCTTCCAGTCGTGTATATTACAATCTGTAGTACTAATACCAGTACCAATACACCAGTAATATTTAACTATACTAGTACCACTATCAGTAAAACCATACCACGATGATGATATAACTGTTGTAGAGTTTTGGTAATCTTTATCATAGATATCTGTACAATATGAAATAGTAAGAGACTGTATCCCCCAATTTATCATGGTTGTCTATAAAAAGCATGAATAATAAAACTTATCACTGTTACCACTGTTTGTCGTGTATTTTGTACACGGTGAACAGTCCATTTGCTGATTACACCATTTTGCCTATACCGTTTATTTAGGACCTCGAATTTTGTCTAATGGTTTGGATTGTTCGTACTTGGTTTTATCTTATTATTATCACAAATCAGGAAATTTCTTAGGGAAATGTCATGAAAATATGTATCAGATTTAAAAGATTAAAAAATTGAAATCGGCTAAAATAAGTCTATGAGTAGTGTTGGGTAATTTAAAGGTGGCCGCAACGTCCCCCCCCCACCCCCAAGAACCCACAAATCTTTGAATAACACTGTTGATTGTAAATTTTCTTCTTGGAAAGAACATGACTTTTGTGCAAAGCGACCAAGATACCATGATCGTACGCAGACTAAGTTCAAGAAGCTGTAGGATTTAATAAAAATTTTACGGTGTTCTGGTTTTTGGGGGTGCCACTCTATATTCAATAATTTCAATAGTTTACTTACCATTACCATCATATATAATACCAGAAGTGGGAGTTGTATTGTCTATTAATATTCCATCACTATTGGCCCAGCTCAATAATCCTGCTTTATTATAAGCTAGTACAGTACTATAATATTCTCTATTCTCTTGTAGATTTAGATTAGTAGCTGTATATACACTAGTATTTCCAGGTACTCTTGTAGATGACTGATGAACGTTGTGGCCTACATTTCAGGAGAAAAAAACCCAAGACCGTTATTTATTACATTATTAAAGATGCAATATGTAAGTTTTAGATAAATAGATAATGAAACAGCAATAAAAAAAAATATATTGAAAATTGCAGTTCTCTATTTTGAGGGAAGTTGTCAGTGTTTGAGGTTTTGCTTAGAATAGCGTAGTCTCGATTTTTTTTTAATGTAACCATTGTTATCGTATTTCAAATCTTGACATTCCGATGGCCTAGAGAGTTGATTACGTGTTTTCTTGTGAATAAATTTCTAATAATTGATAACATTTGAGGCAAAAATAAAGTTTTGCAATCTTTAAGACTAACTATACTTAATAATGAGATTGGTCGGGACTGGTTCAAAAATATCTTTAGGAATGGAAACATCAGTTTAAAAATGTTGTCATACAATTAATTAATACATGTTTCCGTGAAACATTTAATGTGATTATGTTAGTATTAAAACCCACCTTGTGGATGGGTGCTTATATAAGGCTTAAAATAATCGAATCCATGAATTCCTCCTCTAAATTTATTCTTCCAACCAACAATAATCTGATTGCTGGATGTTTGGTAATCTAAATCCTTAACACTTAATATAGTTTCTAATTCTTTTATCTGGATAAAAAAATAGAGAAATATCTCAAAATCAAATCAATAATTCTATTTAAAATAGGTTAATCAAAACGGGGAAAAATCGTGATATAATGACAGTTATAATTATTAAATAGCTTGGTGTTTTTAACTTATTTTTAAGTACTTACATCAGCTCCCGCTATGTGACTGACACTCGGAGCAGACATCAGTGGTGTAATACCAGGAGACTTAAATATCGCATATTGATTTGCATTATACCATACCCTCACAAATACACTATATGTTATAGACTTATCTAAAACTTTAGCTGGAATAAATAAAATAATATTACGAAATTACATGTACTAGAAACACGGTGGGACCTTAAGCCGATCTCTGTGACACACCTTTACAAGCAAGAAGATTTTTGTTTATAGAGCTTTATACGTATGTTTCAATGTTTATAGTTGAATGTATTGATAAGGTATCCTACTGTGACTGAGTGAAGTTTGTGTGATTTGTTAATATTACATACTAATAAATATACAGTATTAATAATTGTTTCTTGAAAGAAATGAATAACATTTTTAAAAGGTATACCTGTAGGTAAAGTAATTATAGTTTCGGTATTTTCACCAACATCAAACCATGTCCTTTCTGTATCAGTGTCATATATTCCACTGGGTGAATTTTCACCGGAATGTCCGGCACTGCATTCATATCTAAAATACCATATGCTGAGTTTGAATTCAGGGTAATTGCTATGTAGTTAATAATGAACTAAACTGGTCTTGGCAGGCTGAAGCCAAGAGCACCATGATCTAGCGGGCCTGCGCCAAGTTGTATGATATTTTTGGTTTATTAAAGAGGTTTAATTTATCTTATAGATGAGAGGCCGTGTTGGTTTATTAAAGAGGTTTAATTTATCTAAGTTTAAATTACCTTATAGGAGAGATGCCTTGTGGGTTTATTATCCTCCATCTGGCAGCTAGAAAATTATCAGACGATGTGTAGTAAGACTGTGTAGCATCAGATGACATCAAATTAGTCATGTCTGTAACTTGGATAATGTTATTTGGATTCCCTGCAAGAATGAGTATAAATAAAACATTCAATCACATGGCGGATTGCATAAAATATACAAAAACATAGAAATACAGAAATAGGGTGGCATATAACATCTGGAATTACTTAAGGTAGACTAAACACGGTGGGCCATTACTGTGGCGAATGCCAAGGAAAAGCTGGCAGAAAAATTCACAAAGAATTAATTAATTAATATGAATAATTTTAAAGATACATTATGGGAGATTTGATAACGAGTTGGCAGTTTTCACTATAATAATTAAAAACTAGATAATGTAAAGGCAATTTGCTGAATTTCATTCAAATTGATCCACTATGAACCGAGAACTAAGCGTTTGAAATTTTCGCCTAGCCTCTATCATCATTACTAAAGTCAGTACGATAAACAGCATAGACTCGATTATCCATTTAATCGTCAATTCGTGAACGAAAGTTAGTCAGTAAATCGGCTCATAATCCACTTAAGATCACAGGCTAGCGATACCATCTAGAGTTGATTATGGTCTGGATAGGTTAATTAATGTCTAATTAATAATTTAGATAACATTTCAGGCCTAAAGAAAGACCTGCATTAGACAGATTTAGCTCTTGCATAATGTATGTTTAAATAAAGTTGATAGATATATACCTGTTGAGATGTCTCTACAGTTGTCAGCATCTGAACATGTTTTGTCTTGTGCAGCACAAACACAATGTCCAAGACAATTATACGGTTGACATCTCCTGGCTAAATCTAACATTCCTCCTTCTACAAGTTCAAATTCAGAATGAGCAGGTTGACTTTTTAATCCAACCTATGTCAAAAATAAAAATGATATGTAACACAATAAAACGACTAGAAGTAAAACATATTGGTAGTTAATAGATACGGATACTGAAGTGGCAATTTTGCCTCAGTCTGATACATCCGATTTAGAGGTGTAATTTCTCTTGTTCTACTGTAGTACATATATGATATACTAGAAAATGATTAAATAGCAATAATTACCCCGTTAACAGCCCATACAGATATGAAAACAGAATTGCCCATATGAAGTGTCTTGGTAGTTATTGTAACTGATTGTACGACTCCTTCATCATTAAAATTATCTCCAGCCACATGTTGAAACGTGGTTTGTTGATAGCCCTGTTAAAACATTTTTTCATAAAAGAATTTCGTGAAGTAAAAAACAATATGTCATATTACCTAAGATTAATTGCAGACCGAAACCAAGCATTTTATTTATAAGATTTTGGGTGTTTGAATGCTGCTAATTTACGCCAAAAATTGTATTATGCTCAAGAATACCACATATTACCGTAATTAGAGATACTTGCCTCGTTGAGATCTGTAAAGAAAGGTTTGCTTCCAACACTGACTTTATACTCGGTTATACCAGTGTGTAGATCAGCAAATCCCAACCATTCTAACTTAATAGACGTAGTAGACCAGTGGTTCCAGTTATTCCTATCTCTGTTTAAGTTAGCGGCGTGGTCAGTATCAATGGCAAACATACCTGAAACAACATTCACTAATTATTTCATTGGGGAAGATACACAATTTGTAATATGGTAAAACTTTAATTCTCCAAAATGACCAGAACAAAAGCAAAACGACATCGAGTTCAGATTTTTCATAATTATCAGATTACTTAGTCATTTTAAAGTGGAAAACAAATAAAAAAAAATGAAAATTAAAATTGCCTGTTTTCTTAGAGTACGTGGATTTATTTAGATCAAGAATGAGTTATCAGATATCATGACATTTGTTCTTATATAATGTTATATAACTATTAGCACTTTTAATCGATACAAACAATACACGTACCTCTGGTAGGTGGTGTAGAATCAACTGTTATATCATCTGTAACACTCGACAGACACAAACCAGCTAAATTACAACCAATCACTTTAACTTTATATTTACTCCCATCGTGTAGAGCTAGACCAGAAAATGTGAACTCTGTTACCACACTAGGAATCTGAAACAAAAATAGTAATATATTCTCTAAAACTAAAAGTATTACAACTATACAATTTAACTTCGTCACCGTTCGTTAGACAAACCTGTGAAACCACTGTATTTTTAAAATAGTAATCTATCCCTTAACAGTTTTCCAACTATGCAATTTTACTCAGGCACTGTCCAGTGGACATCCTCGTAATGCCACTGTATTTTTCTAAATTACTGAATTCATTATAGGCATGCTTATTTTTTATCAAAATGTTTCATTTTTCAAAAAACAAAATATGTTTAAAATTATCGATAGGACTTACCTCCATAGCTGAAGAATTAAAATCTCCCAATAAATGAGGTGAAATAGAAATGTATTGTCTTTCTATATCTGATTCATCATCAGTAAACTTCCATTCAATTTTAATACTAGATTTTGATATGGTAGTTGAAGGTAAAATAGAACTAAACGATGAGACGGGAACTGCCCTTTGTACTACTACTGGTAATGTTGTATCGATCTTAAAACCATTTGATGTAACTTCGCTGTATAAACCTAATAATATAAAATCTAGGTGCAGTGGCGGCTTTGAAATACACAAATAATACAAACGATGATGATATAAATATAATAGTAATCCTATGCAATTTTACAAAAGAAAGATGTCGATTCGTCTACAATGAAGCCGGGTCTAGAGGACATGCCCTCATGTTTCTATATTCTATCCCGCAAAGGGGTAATAACTCTAACCAATTTTAGAAAGGGAACATATTTCGTGTAGGAACCCTTTTACTACTTATATTGCGAATTTATACATTGGGTCCATAACAGTAATGCTTGTTCAAGTAAGATATAACTTAAATTATTGTTTTTGTAAGCATCATTAGCGTCATTAAAATAATTTGAGTCGTACCTGCTTTATTGTAACATCTAACAGTAATATAAATTCTAGTATCAATAGGCAATAGCTTATTATCAGGTAAATTAGATCTATAGGCCAGTTCGACCACTGGTAAATCTTGAGGGCTAAGTAACTCTTCGCCTCCAATGGTTGTTCCTACTCTCCATTCATATCTCGCTATACCAGATTGTGCATCTTTAAACCCATGCCATTTGGCACCAACAAAGTTTCTGAAATCAGGATGACAATCCTTAAAAATTGCACACAACACATTATGTTAACTTATTCAGTAGTAGAATCTGATTCTGGAAGATAATAATTGCAACACTCTTATATAACCCTAACTGCTAAGAACCAATTTATAAATGTCAATCATCTAATTAAGATAAGTTTCCAGCTAAATCGTTCGGGCGATCGACAAGGGTGGTAGCATATGAGGTCATTTACAGGACAAATTGACGAAATTAAATATTGAATAGGCTTCTTCGTTTCACTAGTTTAAATGATGCATATCAACATCATACGGATAGGATTGTAACTTTTGTTAAATAGAATCTTCATATCAATAATGTAGGCATATAATATCAATTTTAAAACAATCAGTTGATAAATGTAGTCTTTAGAGTGTTCATAAGAAATTGTGGACGGACGGACGGGCGAACGGGGGCGATTGCAATATACGACCACGTATAAAAATGGCTTATTGTAAAATGCCTTCTAAGACAATATCTACTGCAGCGGTCCCATAGCAGAGGAGACTCGATAAACGTGATCCAATCATATTCGTGGATCCTCATGTCTATTTTATAGTTTGTTCTGAAAACTAAACAGACTTGATAATCGTGTTTCAATTACCTGGTTGCTTGGAATTCTACATCTAAATCTTTCGTTCCATCTAAAACTCGTCCCACGTCCGGTGGTGTCACGTCAATTATTACCCCGTCAGAAATGGCCGACGTACACATGTCAGCCATATTGCACCCTGTTACCATGGTGATATATTTTGTTCCAGGAGTAAATTTGGACGGTGGAAAAGTAAAATCTGAAATATGTATCGGTTTTTAAAATTTATTAAAAGATCTACTTAATTTATTTGAAAGAGAATAGTCCATATTTTTACAATAAAACTTAACTAAAATCTGAAATATCGGTTGTTACGACATCTACCTATTTTATTTTAAAGAAAATAGCCCCTATTTTTACAATAAAACTAAACCATATCATCAATAGTTCTATGACAGAAAAGTTGGATTGTGCTTTGTAATAATATTTTCCTTACGTGTAGATATTCCTGTTTTGATTTCTGGAATTATGTCATCACAATCATCACAGGTACCAACTTTAACAGTATAGTATTGCATGGATGAATGGGGATCGTGGAATCCTTGCCATCTAACAGAAAGTAGTGATTGTTTAGTTATATAATCTACGTCATCTCCGGTATAGTTTGTATTAAGAATATCGATCACATGTCCTGTGGTAGGAGGAGTTGTGTCTACTGTCACTGGATGAGATATTAATGTAGTAGATAACCCTGCACCATTAATGGCCTGAAACACCACAATAGACAAGAGTTATTGTAAAATTGGTATATAGAATACAAAGATAACCAGCATATAGCATGAATTTGAAAAATTTTCTATTGGAAATTACATCAAATATAAGCATACCGTCTTAACGATTAGTGTCAATTTCTTTGAAATAATTAAGGGATAAATAATAAAGCACAATGTTTATTCCCAACTTATCTATAGTTACATCAAGCATAATTCATTAAACTTTTTTTCTATCTAAAAACGTAATGTAAAATTACAACAAGAGATATACCTGAACTGTGACGTAATAAACGTGTCCATCTTGCAATTTGTGTTCTAGGTTCGCTTCATCACAATCATTATCGGTTATCATATAAGCCCTAATGTTTTCATGACCTGGTCTAGTACCTATTGCCCACCGATACTGACTTATACCACTTTCGGTGTCTTTAAATGATCCACTCCAACTGTAAATAAATCAAATACAAGGGCTCAGGCTCTTTAATACATTATTTACAATTAATTTCAACACCAACATCCTTGTGCTATGAGGGGAGACTTCCAACTGCCAAGGGATCTTTTACATGGGATCGAAACCGAGGCATTCCGATCTATAAATGATAAAAGGTATTGTACACGTGTCGAGGTAGGCTTACTATTTCACGCCTTCAAAAACACCGGTAACCAAATACTTTGGCTGGGGTTAATGGCTTTCATTTTATTTTGTTTACTAACACTAGATTCTATATAAACCTACCACGCAGACAATACATCATTTGACTGTATATATGTATTAGTAAATTGTATAGGTTTAGATGTAGTTTCTGGTGGACTATTATCAATTATGAAACCTTCAGATGAAACGGTTTTTGTCCTGTTTACAAAATCAATTGCTGAAAAAAACAACAAAAAAAAACAATAATAGCACTAAACAAGCAATAGTGGAGCCAGCTTATGGAACCAGGGGATGAAAGAAATGGGTGAATTCTAACAAACGAGCAATGTTGCCTAGCGGGCAATAGAAATCAATCTATTTTCTATTGAAGATTGGGGTGTGTAGGTTTATAATTAATTACACGACTTTAATACATGATTAACAAATTTAATCTAATGGTTTCTATTTGCTTTTATTTAAGTTATACATTTTTTATAGTTCTAATTGTGAAACAGAAACATGAATTTATACCTACCTTCTATAGTGACGTAATAAGTGTGGCCATTTTGTAAAGAAAGATGGTGTAATATTTTATGATTTATCAAACCAACATTATGTTTAGTTACAATATCTTCACCTCCCTCTATAGAACCTTTATAAGTAAAAGAAAATTTACAGAATGTAAAGAACAGCATATTTACAGATTGACAATAAGGTATGTTCGTTCACTTTTAACTTGTTGATTCAGCGATCACTGTCGTATCCTTGAAACAAATTAACCTTACCGATATATAAATGATATTTTGATATTCCACTTGGATGAACAGTTTTTCCACCATTTTCTTCTACGTCAAGAAAACTATCCCAGTAGACAGCTACATCACTGTCGGATGACTGAAATAATATATTGGTTATTCATATAAAACTATCACAAATACATTAATTCAGTACTGATGTAAAGTTTATTAAAGCAGCAATAATCAAATACTAGAAACAACCGATAGCTATATAGCATATTATCCGAGGATGGAACCATTATCCCGAAACACTATTAATCGGGCTAACAGGGAATTACAAGGAATGAATGACGCACCAAATATTATACGTGTTCAAGTATGCTAGGATAGAGATAATGGGGTTCGACTATATTTATATAGAACTATTTACCTGATATTTAATATCTTTCAAGTTCTCCACCCACACCCGACCACCATTTGGTGGAGTCAAATCAACAGTTACACCATCACTACATGCGTTTACTTCTTCCAAATCTTCCGTCCATTTTTCATGACCAGCAACAACAGCATCAGCATGGATACAGATATAATACCGCCTTCCGTGTTTTAAAGTATTTTGAGTTAATACATTGATGTATTCGTTTTCTGTGAAAAGAAATATAAAGAAATGCGGTAAAACTGGAGTCTTAATGATGAAGTCAACCAAGACTCCTTCAAAGTACGTGTTCATATTATAGTTGTTAGGCTTAAGGAAATGGCACACGGAATCAATAGAATAAAGCTTAATGACGTTTGAAGATTACCGAAACTCCCTCACCGGTTTGTCCACACTTTATAACATCTGGATGTGAACAAGGATCTCTTATCATCATCTTCGGTTGAGTAAAATGTGTTAGAGTAGAGAATGCTGGGTCTTCCAGTAAACCCCAAGTATAGTTTCTATGTCTTAATGTGGGCCATACAGCTGATATAATATTTTTATAAGGTGTATAGTCCACATCTGGTTTAGACCAGACTGCGTTCTGATCCAGAGAAATTGATGTTCCTAGTTCATTTGTGTTGGGATCTGAAATACAAAACAAACAACATATTCAAATTATTCAAACGCTACTCATAAAAGGGTGGACATGTCTGCGATATCACCTCGGTGGAAGCGGACGTAAAATATAACTAACTAACAAAATGAAATGAAATGGGGTTTAACGTCCTACTGTTCTGCTCCTAACCTGGGCTAATGAAGACGGGCATACGCCATACAGTGTGCTATGACGGAAATTTTGCCCGGACAGCGGCACTACGGCCTACTCTTATATCGAATTCCAACTACCAAGGGATCTTTTACGTGCACGCCAATGTGTACACGGGACCTCGGTTTTTCGTCCCATCCGAACTACTAGACAGCTTTCCTTGTCAGCCCCTCCGTCCTGCAACTAACTAACAACAACATAATTATTGGATCTGTCACAACTGCGAGTGTGCGTGTGTGTGTGTGTGTGTGTGTGTTTATTTCAATTTCACGATATATTCAAAGAGTACTTACCGTTATTTAATGGCTGTCCTATAGCATCTATAATAATAGCCGGTATAATTAATACCGGATCTACAGATGAACAGTTTTTAATATCCGACGATATTATTGTTGATAAACCAGCTTTATTAAATATTCGTACAGCCAATCTTCTGCATTCACTAAAATCAACTTCACCATCTAAATTAATTCTAAACTGAAACTAAGAAATAAAAAAATATTACATGAAATAGTTTGTCTTTATGGCACAATTTCGAACAAAGGTTCGCGTGGTTGCATAGTTATCATGTTGAAAAGAACCAATGTTTTTGCTTCAACGCAACATTTTGTGTGGTGCTTACCATCCCTTTTCTGTCTATTGGTTTGCCTAAAACCTGTAATCAAGTTTACTTTTTAGGGCATTTTCATAATGTATACAGCTGTAACAGATTTATAAAAACATACAGACAATCTTAAAATTTAGATTCTTACCATTGTCTCAGTGATTTTCTGCACATTGTTTACTTTACTCCATTTAGTTAATAAATGACTATTGTGTTTATTATCTGTTATACTCCACATATATTTATCTATGGTAGACTCCACAGAACACACTTTATCTTCGGTATTACTCTTGTAAGTCAAGCTAACATCTAACTGATATATGGAATAAAACATAAAATGATAACCGTATTATAATAAATCAAACCTTCATATCAGATTACATTTAGTAGCTCATTGGCAGAGTTTAGGTTCATACAGTGTTAATTGTATACTTCGTTAGGTTATGCAGTCGCTGTGCTTATTAATGTGTTGGTACAACGTTACATTTTGATATCTGGGTGATTGTGTTATCATTCTGCCAGCAACAATTACTATAGTGAGCTGCAAATTAAATATTTGATTGTATATAAATATTGGACATATAGAAAAAAAACACCTTAATTAGTTGGATTATATTATTTATATTTGAATTACCTGGGAACCATGCATCTTTTTGTGGAGTATATCTATATGTGGCATATCAGGTTTGCTCAACACTGTTACACCATTACTGACTACAGGTTGAGAACAAACATCACCCGAACAGAACCTCACACTACTTCTATATGTTTTACAATAATCTAATGCTACTGGTTGGAAGATTTGACCAGAATTTGATAGAAACTTCTTATCTTCTACATTGTGCCATATATCCTCTGTTAAACAATGAATAATAATTTAATAATAACAACAATAACATTCTAATATCAGTTTGCCGTGCAAAGTTCTTTATTTTTATCAACCATACAATTTATGTAAATTTTAACAATCAAACGCTACTACTCTACAGATTCTATTTTTTTATTCTAATTATAAATATATCCAAATGCTATAGTCAACAATATCAACCCATACCAATGCATTATATTCATTTATTTCAAAGTAATTCAATCATTTATTTCGAAGTAATTTAACTATTTATTTCAAATTAATTCAATCATTTATTTACCTGTGTTTTTCTGTCTCATTTGTAACGTCCATTTAATATCAGGATACATATGTTTATATGCATTTGATATTGTCCAATGTGCCATGTAATAAGATGTTGATATTTGATAGTCAATATCCGACTCACAATCTGAGCTTGAATTCTGTGTCAGAAAAAAATGGCGTATAATATTTGAGAGTTCTTAATTGAATTTATTATAGATAAATAAATGAAAAATGATAATACCAATAACTGTTAATACTTCCAGTATCAGTTCAATAAAATCAATATTGTACTATTTTTATCTTACTAATATTAGGAAAATAGTTTACCTGTTGCGAATGGTGGTTTGGTAGCCAGGATAGTCTTTCTATGTCTGTTAAAGTGAAAAAAAAGTAATATGGTATAAGGATAGGCATATAATGTGATGTTTTATTTGAAAAAACTTGGATTAAAATAAGGAGTAAAATAGATTTATAGCCATAGTATGCATTGTACATTGTCAGCAGTACTTAATATCAAATACAAGAGACATAAATGTGTCCCTTGCTGTCGGCCTACACCAACTATTGTTTATGAAATGATATTATAGTTGATGTCAAATGTCAAAGGGTAATCTAAATTGAATCATCAATACAGTATTTACGAGGCAATGTGTATTCGTAAAAAATGTGGTTGTGAGGTAATCTTTATTCGTAAACACTGTAGTTATGAATAAGGCTGTTTAATAATTTACCCTTCTGCTGACAATCAGAGCCATCTTTTATCCGAACTTCATTATTCAGGTTAACATTTTTCTGAACTATAGTGATACCATTAGACGATGCTTTTGTTGTTCCAGCGTCACTCCTAGCTGTTACCGTTACAAAGTATGTCTAAAAATAGTAACAATAGTAATATTGACAAAATAATACCAATACATACAAATGTAGATTTCTGTATTTGTGCACTAGACTAGTCAAATGTTCGTTAAATCTGACCCCAAGTTCACAAAACATTCTCAGACTTAAGTTAAGAATTTACTCAATTTTCAATCACTGTTTATGAGAAATATCTTTGATCCAGTAACCCAAAACTTTGCACATAGTTTCTTATTGACGCATTTGATACATTAACACAACAACTGTTTTATAAAAGGCTATATTTTAGTTAAAATAAGGCGAAAAATTTTGAGTAATTTCTTAACTTAAGTCTAAGAATTCTTTGTGAACTCGGGACCAGAATGTTAGAAGCATTTCTTAGTAAAAGTGGGGAACATCATTTTTCTTAATGATTTTGATGTGCTAAATACGAATATCGATGTTCCAAAGCCCAAATTTGAGTTTTTGACCTTCTAATTAGCATAAATACTAAATGGCCGCCAAATGCTGCTAGATTGTCGGTATTGAGAGTCGGTATTGCGCATCAACTGCAGATGGCAGGACCAGAAAATGGCGTCGAAGTGGCCAGCGTTGCTCTGACCAATGTGTCATGGAACGGGCCTCTTTTGGTGGTCCAAGCATAATGGATTGGGGTGGAATCGGCCTGTACTAGAAAGTGTGTCCTGTGATGTTCCAAAATCTTGGTCCAGGGAGAGGAGGCGGCATCACAGCAATGCGCTACATCGACCAAGCTCTCAGACCCCACGCCATACCACATTTCGCACATCATCGAGACAACGTTTTCCAGCATGACAACGCATGTGCCCACGCCGCCAGAGTTACTTAGGACGTTCTACAGCAGAACGATGTCAACGTTATGCACTGGTCAGCCCTTAGTCCGGACTTAAACCCAATTGAACATCTTTGGGATGAAATTCAGTGGAGACCAAACACAGCCAATGGATTGTGCCAGACTTTTCTGAGAGTGTGGTTCCAGTTGCCAATGGCGTTCACCAATTGTCTGGTCCACTCCATGTACAGACGCTGTGCTGCTGTTATTGATACTCGTCGTGGATACACCAGGTACTGATGTATAGACTTGTGTACAGACTCTAAACCTTCTCGTAAAGTCTTGGAATTGTGATGAATTAATCACTAATATAATGTGTCAACATTACTTTGATCCATTTAGTAAGTCGTTCTTTAGAATGATTTGATTAAGTGCCTCTATGGTTTTGAAATCGTACTGGCGTTTATTTTGCTGTGGAGGCTAGGCCCAAAATTCAATCGCTACTATCTCGGTTCAGAGTTAAGCAATTTGACTGAAATTTTCAGCTTATTCCCTGTACATTATTGTAGACACGCACAAATATCCAAAAGGAAAGGGATATCAATACAAAATTTTAATCAATATGGCGGCCATCATGGATATGACGTAATAGTGATGTCATAGGGGCATAATGACACCTTTTTTTGTTTTATTGGGGTCGACTTCCTATATGTCTAAAATACATTAGGCCCAAAAGTCAATAGTTAACAAGATATCTGACAATCTAGCAGCATTTGGCGGCCATTTTGTATTTATTCTAATTAGCCGGTCAAAAACTCGAATTTCGGCTTGGGAACATAGATATTCGTATTCAGCACACCAAAATCATTAAGAAAAGTCATGTTCCCCACTTTTACTAAAAAATGCTCCTTGATTTTTAAGGAAGGTCTTTTTCCGGAAATTTAACCAGTCTAAACGGGTCTGAAAGGATGGTGGGCATCTATGGACAGAGCAATAAGGAGATTTTTCTGACGAATGAGTATCTTGTAGTTTTGTTTTTGTATACAATTGTTGTATTAAAAGATCCCACTTACCTTGTGCAGCTGTAAAGTAAGCCCGAGAAACGTATGCTGGGTCTTACTGCCAACGTTTTCATCTTTTATATCACTAACAAGTGGTTGTGAACCAATACCAATACTGTACGTCACGTGTTCGGCCATATCATCAGATTCAAACCCAAACCATCTTGCTTTTAATTTAGTGGTCGACAGTTGAAAATTACTGTCTTCTAACTCCTAAAGGGAAAATTATATAAACATAAACAGATGTGTTCCAATAGAGAAATACAATCACAGATGAAAGCCTATGTTTACCATATGGTTGACTATCAACGATATTTAGTCTATGTATGTGACAACTGATAGACTTAGAAAGCGGGGAAAGTATTTTGTAATATCGGTTTGGGTTTAGTGGATATAGAGGTTTCTGTAACCAGCTATGTAGATTGCGATGTATGAGAAGAGATCCCCGGTCGAAGTTACCAAACATGATTCGATATTATATTTTTAAATATAATTAAAATTTTAACATGAAAAAGCATTATATGAAAAAGCTTACATTAACTCCAAAGTCAGCTGCCTCATCAGGTAGAATAACTTCAAATACAATTCCTTTGGCTGGTTTTCTGGTATTATGAATATATGGATTAGATGTGAACACACTGTGTAATCCAACTATGTTCTCTACTCTTATAGATACATAGTAGGTAAAGTTGTGATGTAAATCCCAATGAAGATCCTCCATGGAAAAAGCTGTACAGGTTGGTTGGTTAACTAACGTACAGCTTCCACCAGACGATAAGGAAGAATACGGATAGACGTCTTCGGTTCCCAGTGAACTACCTGTATGATGAAATACATTGTTTCTGTATATTCATGACAAAGAACAACCGTTTCGTTTTTCAGATCCGAATACAATTTTATGATGACTATTCTCCGAATAGTTGACAGATTTGACTCCATTCCCGAACACTATTAACTACGTATTAAAAAAAACGGGTTTTTCGCGAAGGCAGAACTCATGCATAAACTTACCTACGGCCGCTGTAAAGGTAAGTTGCGACGATTCGGGATCAGATACAGTTGCTGCTGACCAATCGGCTTCCAATATCTCATCCTCAAATTTAACCAATACCTCACCACCAAGAGTAGGGGGAATAGTATGAACAAAGATCGGACCTACTTCCTTGAAAATAATTATAACATGTTTTATGGGTACCATAAGTCTTACCGAAATATTCGAACTTTTTAAACTTTTGTAGAGAAATAAACCAATATTTGATTAAAGTACTAGAATCATAAACAAGAGCCACCAACCTGAACAGTTTCCTTTTCAGCTTTGTTAATTGCCTTAATACTGATGTAGAATTCGGTTCCATCACTAAGTTGCGGGTGGTAGCCACGGTACCAAGAATGGTGATGGGTTGATGTAAATGGTAAAATGTCAGGGGCAGAAACTGAACTTTCAGCAGATGCTAGACCAAATTCATAATTGTAAATTTCTGTATTCATCAAACTACCCTTAGCAGTCCAATTAACATATAACTGAAATAAAATTACTATTTGTTATGTTCTTGTCTTGTTTTTAGATTGTTAAGCCCTATGAAAATGGGACTCAATCCGGTAAAGAGAATTCGATCAATATTTTTTACTGCGTTACTAATTCTGATTTACTAGAGATGTGACTAGAATGCCTCCCAATTCCGAAAATGATCGCACGGTTCCCGGGATCAACTGTATCTTCTCAGTGAAAATTGCTGACACAGTATTGCTTATATGACATTGTATTATACAAAATGCTATACGTCCAAAAATTAGATTGCGTCAATATGATCAATTAAGACTAAAAATTTTGTGATGTAGCCTCCAAAGTAAATCTAATTTTGATTTACTAGAGATGTGACCAGAATGCCTCTTAATTCCGAAAATGACCACACAATTCTCGGAATCAGCTGTATCTTGTCAGTGGAATTTGCTGATACAGTATTGCTTATGTGACACTGCAATTTTTCACACAATAAATTCTACAGTAGACATCGCTGTACATGAATTTGTTTGGTAAGTTAAAAAGGAACTACTTTTTTGTATTTTCAAAGAGCAGTTCATTTTTTATTCAAATTAACTTCTTTTTTTTTATTAAAAATGAAATATTTTTATTTAATTGACCTTGATGGAAACACTGGGTCAATGGTTGAATTTCTGTCAAAAAAATGATGTATCACTACGCCATAATGTAATCAGGTTCAGTAAAAGTAAAGTCTATAGCAGGAGCCTCGTTTTTTTTTAACTTTATCGACTTGTGTTGATATTTTTTGATATAAAAAAAGACTCGTAGGAGATTCTCTATATACCGATTGCTATTCTTCCAAAAATCAAATTGCGTTAATTTTACCAATTAAGATTAATATTATACAACCCACTGGCTCCTTCAACGGGTAGCCGAGTGGTTAATTTGGGCATAATAAACTCACAAATCTAAATAGTATATATTATTGGGTTTATCTTTTAGTTATGGCTGACCTAGTCGGAACAGTACAATAGGGCGTTAATGACATGCTCTGTTTAGGGGAGTCCAAATTCTGAATTTACCTCTGAAAGAATATACTTACATGAGAATGCATTACAAAATACATCTTTGAAAAAAATACATCTGTCATTGGGTTTTCATCACAAAAAATATTTGCT